TTTCTACTTGAAAATGAATGAGGAGTACAGGGTACAGACTTTTCTTGCTCTAGAAAGCTTTGGATGCTTGCAAGTCTTCTTGCTGGATAATTACATGTAACCTTTGCCTTCAAGTTCCTATTCCGGACTTTAAGGATCGTTGGAGTCCTTTTTTTCTTTTTGTCATGGTTTTATGATTTTTGGTTATCAGTATTCCACACCATAGCATCATGTAATGCACTGGGGGGTTTGACTTCTGTTGCTCGAGTTCTGAATGTTTGTCCAACAGAGAAGAACTACATTTCCCCAGGAGGCTTTGCGGTCAGCGAGGAGATACAACTCAGCGCAAGGTCACCTGATTCCTCTTCTTCTTTGCCTGCTCTTCGCCGTCTGCTCTTCGCCATCTGTGCTTCGCCATCTGCTTTTCTTCATTCACTCAACTGGACTGCACTTCTCACCTCAGCATTGTGGTGAGGCCTATCTACCATTCAGACTAACTCTCTCTCTCTCATTATACTTTGCTAATACTATATTTAGTAAATCATTTGTTCCACCTCAGATTATTGCCGTTGTTTTCAGTTATTTTGGGGTCCCCTGTTTCCCTTTTCCAGAGGCACGGATCCGCAGGTCCCTCCGCCTCGCTGGTCACAGAACCGGGCCGAACCAGCCCATAAATCGTTGACACTTTTTTTTTTTTATGTCTGACATTTCAACTGTTGTGACATAATACAGCATTTTCTAGGGCTAGAAGCCTGTCTTTTATCTAGATTGTTTTATCTTTACTGCACAGTTTCTCTAACAACTTCGTTTTATCCAGTTCCAGAATAAATCATCTATCATAAGCATAAAGGAAAATTGAACTTATTTATAGAACAGAACTCATTTGCCCCTATCATGGAATGTGCCTGTCAAAGATACTGAATCTACAAGAGAAAAATCAGGCATTTTCAAGGATCTGCCAAGTTCTCAAGTGTTTTACAAAGTAGACCATTTTGAGATTTCCAGGGAAATGTCTTCACTACAAAGCTTGAAGACTGTACACATCACTACTGGCGTTATTTTTTAGGTACCTGAAGCTATCTTTCTGATGAAAAAGTGCTTGGCCTATAGATGAAACAAGCTGATCACCCAAATGGACAGGTAGGATTGCCATGCCTATCTCATTTTCCCCCAGCCATGAGCAAATGATGGAAAAGATATGGGTAGAAGAATTCCCAAGAATTTTCATGGAGAAGCATCTGTAGCTCCAATACAGGCCACACAGATGTTTCTGAAACTCAGATTTCTCTTGCATCAAATATGCCTAGCAAATATATGCAACTAAACTAAAACAGCCCATGCAAGTGTCTAGAATTTTTCAAGACACATTTACACCTCTGCTTTTGCTATGCAGCAGATGCTGCATTTAAGACTAGGGAATACAGGTTGAATTGTTCAGACCTAAATGGTAATTTTCATGGTCCCACACCATATCTTTATCTCTAAATTGGAGAAATATGGATTTGAAGGGTGGACTGCTCAGTGGATAAAGAATTGGCTGGATGGCTGTAGCAAGAGGGTTGTTGTGAATGGCTCTATAATCAGACGAGCAGTGTCCCCCAGGGATCCATCTTCGGATCAGTGCTGGTCAACATCTTTATCAATGACTTTGACTGCAGGATTTAGTGTACCCTCAGCAAATTTGCTGATGACACTAAGCTGAATGGTACAGTCAGTACAACAGAAGGAAGGGATGCCATCCAGAGGGACTGGGACAGGCTTGAAAATGGGCCCATGAGAACCTAGTGAGGTTCAAAAGCGCCATGTCCAAGATGTTGCATTTGGATCGAGGCAATCCTAGGTATGAGTACAGACTGAGAGACAAACCTGAGAGCAGCCCTGCTGAGAAGGATTTGGGGGTCATGGTAGATGAAAAGCTGGACATGAGCCAGCAGTGTGCTCCTGCGGCCCAGTAGGTCAGTGGTATCCAGAACTGCATTAAAAGAGGGGTGGCTAGTAGGGAGAGGGAGGTGATTTTTCCCCCTCTTCTGTGCCATTGTGACGACCCATCTCGAGTATGAATCCAGGCCTGGGGCCCCCAGCACAAGAATGATGCAGAGCTGTTAGAACAAGTCCAGAAAAGGGCCACAAACATATGCAGTACTTCTCCTATGAAGAAAAGTTAAGGGAACAGTTTGCCCGAGGGGGCTGTGGATGCCCCATCCCTGGAGACATTCAAGACAAGGCTGGATGTAGCTCTGGGCAGCCTGGTCTAGTGGTTGGCGACCCTGCACACAGCAGGAAGGTTGAAATTAGATGATCACTGTGGTCTTTTTCAACCCAGGTCATTCTGTGATTCTATGTTTCTATGATTCTATGAATTGAGATTGCTTGCTTGGAGAAGGCTCCAGGGAGACCTCATAGCAAATCTTCCAATACAAGCAGGAGAACTGACTCTTTACGTAGGTAGACAGTGATAGGACAAGGAGGAATGGATTTCAATGGAAAGAGTGGAGGTTTAGCTTAGCTATTAGGAAGAAATTCTTCACTGAAGGTGGTGATAGATAGACTGGATTAGTTTAGTAGTTTATTCACTGGAATTAGTTTACTTGGCCTTAGTTGTCTGAGATAAACCTGAAAATGTTATAAGCTACATGAAATCTAATAATTTGTAGAATTTAAAAAAGAAAAGCAAAACCAGTTGTGGCTACTTAGCAGACAGCTTTAAGTTAATTAAGAACGAATATAAAGAGATGCTTGTGCAATTAGTAGCCTGTTGCTCAGTCTTCCCGAGTTAAAACTAATGTTGCAAATCACTATTGTTCCATATCACAACAAATACCCACTTGGTTTATTTGAAATTCTATCTGCTTATTTGAAAGGCTGTCTCTAACAAGTCTTTGACAAAAATACTTTGAGAAGTGTGTAATAACAGGAGGCTTGAAAAGCCTGCCAAGCTTTGGAAATTGTAGAGTCTTACGTGTATTTTATGAAATTCTTCTTTTAAATATCCTTTCACTCCTGCCAACTTACTGGTAAACATGTATTACTTATAACTTTTCCTAGCAAGAGAAGAGGTACAGTTTCAAACGAAGTACAGAGATATGCAGCATGACGCAACTGCAGCACATTCGCCAAGGTCCTTCTCTTGAAAATTCTAGTGCCCTCAGTCATGGCATCTTGCTGAGCAGCATCCTAGCCTCATTTTTCATCTGCAACACTACTTATAACAAGGGATAATTTATATTTAAATCCTTTTTTAAAAAATGACACATTCTACCTTCAACATCAAGAAAAGCACAGAAATTCTATGAGAAGTTATTTAAGAACTGTTCAGAACAAAATAAATTTATTAGCTGGGAGACAAACATCATACAGTAATGCTGCTGCGGTACTTTAAGGCTCCCCCAGGCTACCTATGCAGGGAAAAAAAAATGTACAGCGGTGGTCAAAAGTAGAATAATCACAGAGAAGAACTGCAACTGGGTGTTAAAAGGAATTATAAACATTTCTGACTTCTAGTGTTTTTCCAAAGGGAACAGCATCAAACCTATCTGCATATAACAAATTGGTCAAAACAACAGGGGACTGACTGTGAATTGCTGCTGACACAAAACTGTTAGTAAGTAGGTTACGAGTAGCACATAAGTTGGTAGCCAAGAAACTGCTCTTTAAGTGCACAGGTGTGAGTACGAAAGGGCCTTGGTCTCCTGCAAAACTGTTTTCCAGTGGATAACCTCTCAGCATGTTCAGGTGCTGTCTGACACTAATGAGGAGACAATTCTTGCACAGGATTGCTCTGACCACCTGAAGGACTACAATTCTACATGAGAGGAAAATTTTTAAAAGGCACAAGCATACATTCGTTAGGAAATTGTTTTTATCATAATGGAATATTAAAAAGATTCCTTTAGTAGCATCAAGAGGTTGCTTACACTTTGTCTCTCACTGAGGTGTGCTTTTTTTGCTACTGATATTATCCTCCAAGACTTTGTGCAGGAATGTGGGTATTTCTTGCTGTTTTACTGGTAGTTGTTGGGGACTCCAAAATTATCAGCACTCTTCAACAGTTCTACAAACAAAACAGTTACTAAGTGCCTAACAATGCTGTTTGCAAAAACATCATTGCATGAATTCTTTATGACTTACACAAGATACAATAAAATATTCCTTTTGAATTCCTTACAGTTTTTTTGTGCAATACAATCACAAACAGGAAAATAAAAAAGTGAGAAAAAATAGCACACTTTTAAAGAAGAGTGGAAATGGATAATTTACCTTCCACAGGTTGAGAGAGAGGGAAGGAAAAAAGAAAGAAGATGTGTATTATTAATACAAAACAGATATAGTGGACACATGAAAGTCACAAAAAAGTCAGTCCAGCTAAGATACGCAAAAATGTGTTCTAAATTTGAGATTTTTCAGGTCTTAAACTGTTCCACTCAAAGCAGACTGTCCCATAGTGAGCTACTTAACACGCACTGGTTCTCAGAAGGAGAGCAATGACTGTGGCTAAAGCAAGCACGAGGGTGATTGCAAATACAGATTTGATTTCTGTTGCTCCAGAGTGCTGGCATTAATTCAGACAAATGAATCTCTTCACGTCTAAGAGCAGCTTTCCTTCCCACTGTAGATCACCGTAGACAACACGCCTCTCAATCTCCGGATACTTCAGGAGATACTTCAGGATTCACACCTACCAGCAAGGATCTTCAGTCTACGTCTGGGACATCTTCTCGAGGGCTCAATATAAGTGGCCAGGGTTTCGTCTGCCCTTCTCGGGGTGGGGTACACCGATCGCACCGAGGTCCCGCTGCCCGCCTTGGGCAAGGCTTTCCTCGTGTTTTCATCGTCCAGAAAGACACGGCGAACTAGAATCAATTTGTTCTCGGTACGGTGCGAATTCCTGGCAACGACGCCTTACCGCCCGCTCCCGGCTGGGCGGACCCTACGCCGGGCTGTTTCTCGGGGTACCAGCGCCCTCGGCCGGCACTCGGTCCGAGGACGGAAATGCCGTAGCGAACAGAGCTGCAGCGCGGAGCGCGACCCTTCCGAGCGGGGGCGGCCAGAGCCCAGCTCTTTCTCGGGCTGCACCGGTCCTGAGGAAGGGCGAGCCTCGCTCCGCGGTGGGAAGGACCGCTGCCAGCTCCGCACCCCCGGGGCGGGACAGAGCATCCCACCAAAGGAGCGCGACAAGGAAAGGAGGAAAAAGGGGAGCCCCCTCCCCATCTGGCCTCGCGGTAAGTGAACCAGGGCACGGCAGCGGGCGGGGGAGAAGGAAGCGGCGGCACCCTGCGCTCGGGGCTGAATGGAAAGCCACCGAAACACGTGCCACCACTCTGGATCTTAAACTGCCCATCTCGAGGCACTTCGCTGAAGTGGATACTTCTTATCCGATCTTCCCAGCCGGCAGCTGGTGGCGTTCCTTCCTCAGCACTGCAGCCTGGGCAGCCCGGAGTCCCCGGGCAGCGGAGCGCTTCCCGTACGAGCGGTATTCAGGCTGTACGCCGCTATCGCGCACTCAAACTGATTGTTATCTTTTCGAGCACAAGAGCGGGCAGCAATACCGGCAGCTCAACCGGCCCTTCGTCTGCCGTCAGCTGCCAGCCAGATGAAGAGCAATTTGTTCCTCAGTGTTACACCCCACAACTTTCTGACAGCAATCAAACTTTTTCAGGAAAAAATTCTAGATACGTTATTTTGTATCCAGAGCGTCCGGGTGGGGGGGGGGGCGGGGGAGGATAGTGGAAATGGGGGTGTACTGGGGCCATAACTCACTGCAAACCTGTACTGTAAGCAGCTGTTCGTTTTGTCTCCCCAGCCCTTCCTGTGCAGACACTGAGTGGGAATGATGGAGAGGAATTGGGCTTCTTAGATGAGCTGCTCCTCATTTATTACCTTTATCTGCAAGACACCAGGCTCCCTAGCATTAAGAGGCCTTGAGCTCCACCAGTTCATTTTAACTATCTGTATAAGATCTAACAAGCAAATTATGACTGGAGAAGTGCGGGAGGTAGCTAAACTCAGTGCACCAGCTATGCATCACCGCCTCCCATTCCCCCAAACAAGGAAAAGGAGTGACTTTGAATGTTAAATGGCTTATTGCTAAACAATGAATTCCTTCATATATTACTACAGTAAGGTTACAAGATGTTTAAAAAGATTAATAGCTCAATATCTATTCTGAATTGGAGGCTTCTCTACCCTCTCACCCTCTCCCACCTTTCCCTCCCCCCCCCCCCCGAAGGTACCCAAGTGAACTGAAACTTCACCTTTCAGTAATAGGTTTTAGCTTAAAAGCACTAAAAGTTCACTTGAGTTGCAATTTAAGATCATTTTGGTGAATCACTAAATACTGGGGGAGTGGGGAGGGGCAGGTGGTGCAGAGGAAGCGGTAGGAGGAAAATTCACATTTTTCATCTGATGCCCTAAGGGATTCAGTCTCTTTTATAAAAAGTGTTAAGATCGCTACTCTGAGACCTTCTTTAAATAAAATAAAATGAATTTTATGTACTATAAAGAAATTTCCTATTATGAATTGCAATATTGGCATGATCACAAACTTGACTCTTGTCTTCACTTATCCTGACTAGAGCCTAGCTCTGATAAGAGAGGAATTCTAAGACTTTTCTTGAAAAGGAGCAACATTAATTTCTTTGCTATGTATAACAAGAACTAGAGAAAGAAGAGAATGCCTCGAAGGATCTGGTTCAAGTAAATATTTCTCGGAATTTAGTGACTTCCCTGTAAATCAGTTCTCTCCTCATTTCCAGTATTTCCTCAGAACTCAGAGAAGTTATTCATAGATGTCTATTCATAGAGTCTTCGCAAGCAGCTAACGCTGTGTATCAGACAGTAGAGCTTCCTTTATCCAAACCCAATTCAGTTAACTTAATCCAGTTAGCTCTTCTGGTTTCGATGTTTGCAATGAAATATAGGCCTACTGCTGAAGAAGATTGATCAAGAATGCCAGCCAAAACTGGAAAAAATCTATCATCTCCTGATAATTTCAACCTAAGACACATAGACTTCAAAAATAATACATTCTTCTTCTTTTTTCCCCAGAGAAATATGTTTTATAGTATAATAGTATCTAGAAAATAAGTAGTTGATTAGACTACTGAATGCATGTGTACATTGACTACTCATATTTGGGAAAGTTCAGTTTTACAATATAAAACTGAATGGTCAGTCATCAGAAGACAGCAGCACTATGGAGCTGGGGGTGGTATAAAATAAAAACGTTCAGACTTCCAATGGGTTTCCAGGTATTACTTCATGGACATGAATCATTTTAGATGTTTGATTATAATATTAAAAGTAACTTGATCACTTTCAATTTTATATGCTATACACAAATTCACCATTTCATTTGTCAACTCAAGAACCATTCTCTGAAAAACAATACTGGTGTGCTTGAGTTTCCCCACCTTCTTTTGTTCAGTTAAGCATCTCCAGGGATAATTTCTTTGTTTTTTTCTTTTTCTAAATTGTTTTCAGAATGTTCCTATGTCAACAGCACGGAAGCCACTGTATTCATTGGTTCTGCTGGTAAGTAATGAGCCTGCAACTGTGTTCCTGCAAATTAAGGGTCTCCAGACTATGAACCACATCCAGGCATTTTTTCTTTTTGAATAAGTAATGTTTCCCTAGCCAAGTTTCTGTCAGTAATTGAATGCCAGGAGATGTTTAGTAATTAGTTCCTGATACTATTCCTGTAGCTCCCATTAACTGTACAGGCCAGTATTACTTATTTTCCCCTCTCCTAAAAAAGCAGGTAAGGAGCAGGTAAGCAGCAATCAGAAAAGACTGCTGAACCTCAGGGAAGCTAGGGTGAAAAAGGAGAATATAGTGGCTGTGGCACTAAGATGTATAGAAATGCACAGGAAAATACAATCCTGTACTCTTCCCCCGTTTTCAACTATTAAAATATATCTCTAAGCATTACAATATATGGTTTTATTTGCCTCAGTACTGAACAAAATGATAATTCAGATAAGCAGAATGTGTTTTGAAATATACCAACTCCAGAGATAGCAAAGACGTATCTGCTCTGTCCTTAATTATGCATGGAGAAATAATGCTTTCAAAAAGTCAATCCTAAGTTAAATCAAAAATCCAAAATGGAGTTAAGAGCCCAGAAGAAGGTAATGAATTAACAGATACTGGGTAAGCCTCAGTAAAAACTCTAATTCTTGTAGGCTTTCAACACTGGATTTTAAGAGAAAGAAAAGATATGACTTTCAGTTAAGGAGTGTACCATAGTGTACCATAAGTACACTAGGGAAAAAATTTAAGGGACTTACACATGAACACTGTGTGAAAGCACTGATAAAGTGTTTATAGGCACGAGCATTTACAGAATAAGGCTTGCATGCCAGAAATTGTAACCATTCTTTACAGAACGAAATACTTTGCTCCTTCACTATTACTCATTAATTTTTGAGCAGTCATAGAATTTTAGAAGAGCATTTCAACCCATTCTATATAAGCCAAACCAAACTTTACAGGTCTGAATTTGGTTTTGTTTTCTAGCTTCTATTCTGGTATGGTCTCTTCATATTAGAAGTATTGATTAGTAGAAAATTATATGCTCATCTATGGAAATTAGTTAGGAAATACATCGGTTTTATGTTTGTACAATTGAATCCAACTACTGCCAGTATTTTCTGTTCACATAAGGATTTCTCCACTCAAGAAAGCATTTTAGATGTACATTAAACTTCAGTAATTTTCATAGGACATTTTACATTTTAAATTACTCATTATATAAAATATTGTAGAAATATGTTGCGTAGGGAAGACCTAAAAGGGAAAATGATAAGGACTGCAGAGATTGAGCGTATTTCTTTTCTTTTCCAGAGTTCCAGCATTAAAAATTACAAAGCAGCCCAACACATTGTCACCCAGGAGTGTAAACCAAGATTGAGTTTCCAAGTCTGGGGCATCTTCTCTGATTTTCATTCTCTGCTGTTGTACAAAAGATGTCAAAAAACACAACAGAGAACTCAAATTACACTCACATAGTTCTTCTAGGTTTTTTCCTGGCTAGCATTTCACTGGTCACTGTTGTCATGAATGTATTAGTATTATGTGCTGTGAAAACTGAGAAGAAGCTGCAAACAGTTGGCAACTTATACATTGTTAGCCTCTCTATTGCAGATCTTATCGTTGGTGCAGCTGTTATGCCCCTTAATATTGTTTATCTCCTAAACCATGTGTGGACTCTGGGCTTAACAGCATGTTTGTTCTGGCTGTCAATGGATTATGTGGCCAGTACTGCATCTATTTTCAGTCTCTTCATACTATGCTTAGACCGTTACCATTCCATTCAACACCCCCTGAAATATCTCCAGTATAGAACAAAAATGAGAGCATCACTGGTGATTTTGGGAGCTTGGTTGCTCTCTTCCTTATGGATCATCCCAATCCTATGGTGGCGTGATTCTGCCAATAATGAGAAAAGGAAAGGAAAAACAAACTGCGAAACTGAGTTCTCTCATGTCACTTGGTTCAAAGTGTTGACAGCCATTGTCAATTTCTATCTGCCCTCTATCATAATGTTGTGGCTCTACTGTAAAATATTCAGAGCTGTTCGAAAACACTGCCAACAGAGAGAAGTCGTCAATGGATCATACTGCTCTTTCTCTGAAAACAAAAATGTAATTCATAATAAGGCAAAGGCCAAGCAAAGTATTTGCCTCCAAAAGCAAAGCTTACATGAAAACACAACTCATAAAGATAAACAGATGTCGTCTGAGTGCAGAAGTATGGCAGCAAAACCGCTTTTCAGTAAGGCTGACAAGTCTTCAAAGGCTTTTGTTAGCAGCAGTAACAGCAAAGCCTTTAAATCCAGTTGTTTGCCTCTCACCACTGCCCAGTCTGAGCCGGATCTGGATAAAGCAGGAAAGAAGAGTATGTGTGTAGAAAAGGACAATAAACATGAAGAGGACCCTCACTCACAGGACAGCGACGTAAGTGCTGCATCAGACAGCGATACTTTCACAGACAATGTGCCTTCTGGAGAGCAGCCCAATCCTAATTCTGATAGAGCCTGCATTCCTCAGGAAAATACAGAGAACAGGGATTTCAGAGGACTGACTTACCTGAGGAAAACCTGGCAAATCCTACATACTCATTCCAGAATACATCTTCGAAGACAGCACGTGAACAGGGAGTGGAAAGCAGCTAAGCAGTTAGGGGTCATAATGGCAGCCTTTATGCTGTGCTGGATTCCCTATTTTGTGTTATACATGGTAACTGTTTTCCAACACCGTGAACAGTTTTACAAATTACATATGTTCACTATATGGCTCGGCTATGTGAATTCCACCTTAAATCCATTCCTGTATCCTCTTTGTAATGAAAATTTCAAGAAGACATTCAAAAAGATCCTTCACATTCAGTAATATCACACTGGCTTTTTTTCTGAGCTAAAAAGCAACCCATAAAATCAATCAAATGAAATGTTCCAGTTTCAAAGGCAAATACTGTGATAAAGTAGAAGGCTTTGGAAAACTAATTTATAAACAAGTGTTGGTAAAAGTGGGATATGTTCATATAACAGCTTCAGCACGTTTGAAGAATGAATTCTTATCAGGAATCCGAAAAGCTCAGTAGCCAGTCTCAGATCTGTTACACTATTGTAAATATTTTATGATTTGAGATTCTCTCTTTCGTCATATAGAACTAACCTGAGTGTACAAAAAGAGATCATTAAGGATTATAAGTTATTCAGCTATGGAAAAGGCAGAAAGAGAATACTGTTTCTGTGACCGGTCAAAGGTTTTTTTTCTTTTTTAACTTACTGCTTTGAACAGGGAACACACTGCTTGTGAAGAGAGGTCTTCTGCAGAAAGAGGTACTTTGCACAGTTTAAAAAGAAGCTTCTACTGTTTGAAGAAATCTACACTGTTTATTTATAGCTTTCTCCAAGTCGTACACTTGTTTGGAAGTCACAGTTTAACCTACAGTAGCTACTTAATATCAGGCTTGCTTCATTTATACCAGTACACTTCAACTTCACTGAAAAAAGAAGTATTGTTTGTCCTACACATTTTGCTAAGACATTCCGAACTCAAGATAATATCAAGAAGGGTAGGCTGTTGTCTCCGACAACATATTTTCTTTGAGAATATACCTGATTGTGGCCTATATGTATTTTATTCCTCCTATGACTTGGCAAATAGCCTAAGCATGCAGAAGCAATGCTAATGCATATCTTTATGACAGGCAAACTCTTCTCGCTACAGTGAGACAAAGTCCTAAGCAGCAACTCAAGCTTGCAAAACAGGAAATAAAATACATGAAGTATTTTTACCTTTCCTGTCCTTTACTTACATAAGTTGTGCTGTAAACACTGTTAAATATTTTAGAAGAAGCAGAATGATAGAATACTTATGGTTGCAAAGGGTCTCAAGAAGCCACTTAAATACAGCCTACAACTCAAAGCTGTGCTTTTGCAGTATCCTCAGGGCCTCATCCATTCAACAACACATGAAAAGGGCTTCCTCTGAAAAAGCTGGAAGGCAGCTTTGACATAGTGGTTTGCAAGTTTCACCCTAGCAGCTCAAGTCATTCCCTCGTTAAGCCATCCATTTCACTGTTTCTAAGTATGAACAGCGCAGTGAGGTAAACCCTACTTTCCAGTCAAAGGAAGAAAACATAGTTCCTTAGCAAAAGAATGCAGTCACCTACATTACATGAGCTGATGATTTAACAGAACAGTTATATCAACATAAACCAAAGTCTGCAGATTGGGAAGAAAGATGCAGAGTTGAGGCCAAGGAGATCTCTGGTCCTGTATGATCCAAATACGTCAAGACACACAAGTACACAAGTGAAGCATTCATTTCTGTACTGTAATGGAACTAAGCGAAAGAAACATTTTGAGCAAACACTAAATCTGACCTCTGGGGCAGAATTGCTATGGGACTCCAGTCAGTTTTAAGAAGACCAGAACCAGGGGGCTGGGCTCGATGATCTCTAAAAGTCCCTTCCAGCCCCTACAATTCTGTGATTCTGAGATTCTGTGATATCTTCAGCAGCAGATGTCATATTCGTATATAGTAATGAATTGCATTTAATGGTGAATGTTCCATATGTGTTAGGAAAGGTGACTGGTGAGGCATCCTGAAAGTTCACTGTGAAAAGAATATATTCTCGTTTGTGGGGGAAGATGTAACTGTGAGCGAGTCACCAAAGAACTTATCAGACTCTTTGATAGACCTTATCACTGTGAAACTTTGGGAGACCAGAGTGTGTGACAGAGAGCAAACAGTGTCTTTTTGCATATAAGGGTGAACAGGAGGTTCTTTTCTACGCCTTGTTAATCTTGTCACACTTAAGAAACCTTTCCTCCTTTATCACTGTTGTTTGGGAGAAGTTAGGGTCAATTAACTGATTAGAGGAACTGTTGGAGGAACAGGAATTTCTTGTTTGTAAATGAGTGGTATATAAGATGTATGTTGAACACAATAAAGTACAACTATTCTGATGCTAAAAGAAACTGTGAGAACTCTCTAACTTGACTGAGCACCGACACTCATTGTCGTTTTGCTGTGTTGACGTATTTACCACTCTTAGAATGTTTACTTGCTTCTGAGAACAGCAAAGGTCTGACAGAACCGGAGCTGTTTTAGCAGAGTGCTGTCACGTGTTTGGTGGGAAAAGTGAAATGGATGTGCTGTGTAATATCTTTTTACATCAGGAGAGAAAAATGGGAACAGTTGCAGGAGCAATTCTCAATTCTATGTTCTTACTGATCTTGAGCTACTTAGAGTCTTTCTGTGCCACACATGCCTATTTTGCAAGTGAACGTGACAAAACATAGAAGAACAATTAAACACTTAAGACATTTGCATCATGCTTTTAATTTTTGGATGCAGTACACTAAATAAATGCAAAGTATTATTATCCTTTCCGTTTTATATCTGTTAATTAAATACCTGAGCGTCAATAGATTTTTTTTATAGTACTTAACATTAAATGAAGGCCTAGTATCCACAGTTTTCTAAGTGGTTAGCTCAATTTTGGAAAAATGCACTAAATTAATTAACGTAGTCAGTGTATCAGACAAGGTTCAGAGATTGATTAAAATCGGTCTTAAGTAGTATTCAGGAACGACTGCAATCAGAAAACTCTAATGTAGAAAAAAATATGCCAAAATATACAGATAGTGTGTGTATATATATATATATATATATAAATTAGTAACATTCATTCAGTAATTCTGGCAACTTTTGCACTGCAGGAACAGTGTCTGCGCAAGTAATAAAACAAACCTTTTAGACCACAGAGCAGCAAATTTTGGAACATATGCTCTTATTCAAAGCCATTCACAAACTATTCTTAAGATCAGTAGCCATTCTGCTCTTTTTTTTTTTTTCTATTATAATGTGCAACAGCAATTCTATATGAAATAGATGGTAATTCAGGTGTGCACTAGGGAAATAAAACAGGATAATGATTCAGCTGCAGTTACTAATGCATAGCAGTAGAACATGATAACCCAGGGGCTACCTAGATTATCAAAAAGCATTGATTGTGACAATTGCCTTTTCTGACTTTACAGCATGTTAATAAATGAAACAGCAACTATAACAAAACCAGTGAAATAAGATCGCCATTAAAAATCAAAGCGTATTTCTGGTATGATTAAAAACTATTCAAGTACAAAAGAAAAAAAAATTAAACAAATAAGCTGCCTGGATGGTGATGATGATGATGATGATGATGATGATGATGATGATGATGATGATG